CAGAAGTAGTCATACTGTTCCGGTGATCCCCAAAGAAAAGCGCAACATCAGTTTCTTGCATCCAGCAAAGGGCGACATTATCATATTTGACCAGAGAATAACCCACGGGGGTCAGGGCCCGCTGAGCACAGATGATCATGTCTTCGCCGAAGAGGCGAACACCACCGGCGCCGGTGAGATATTGACAAAATCTGGACGGCGAATACTGTTGCAAATTGGATACGGTTGGAACAATGTTCATTCTGACGATTTCGAGATGGGCACGAAGATGCGACAAGATATCTTTCAAAGTCCTGTATGCAACTACGCTGGGTACAGTCCCTGCGCATTAAAATTGGTGCAGGACGATTTCAGAAGACGAGGAATCCGATACAGCTGTGATGATGCTGCAGTTTGTCCTTGACCATCGGTTCCCACGTGCAGCATCCGTCGCAGTTTCACCATCGCCCGACGGGTCGCGCTCTCTTAGGGGTGGCCTCGCAGAGTTGCGTCCGCCGTCGAGAGGAAGAAAAGAGGCCTCCTAGAGGCCCGAGCGAGGCCCCGAGGACGCTTCACCGGGCGGGGGGCTGGAGGGGCACGTCCTGTGGCGTGGGTCAGGGTGAGCGGTGAGCTCCTCCCCTCCTCCCCGGGGGGGGGCTGGGGGGACGTCCTGTGGCGTGGGGTACTCCAGATTTCGTAATAAAAGGGAGGGGGGTCTCATTTCGGGGGGGGTCTCTTCCAGGCTATCTTGGAGGGCCTGGGGGGGTCTGGGGACGGTGTTTTGAAGGGTTCTCCCACGGGGGGGGTCTGAAATGGCTTGTCTTGGAGGGTCCAGACCCCCTCCCTTTTATTACGAAATCTGGGGTAGGGTGAGCGGTAAACTCCTCCCCTCCTCCCCGAGGGGGAAGAAGGGAGAAGGTAGCGGAAGCGCCTTAAACCGCCCACGCTCGGAGGGCTGGTGGGATGCACGCCCACGCTCACCAGATCCAGTCATGGCTTCTCTTGCTCTTACGTGCTCATGCTCACCCATGCTCACTTAAGTCAGGAGGGAACAAAACACACAGACACAATCAATCGTCGACTCCCAGAAAGTATAGGAAACTATAGGAAGTGGGGGGGAAGAAGAACACCCAGAAGATATGGGAACATATGAGGAATCCTGTTATGTGTGTGTATCTAAAGACTGCCGCCTCTGCCGCCGACCTCCATTGAGCGACGTCTGCTTGAGTCGTTTGCTGTCGGGATGCCTTTCCGAGCACGGCAGGAAGGGTTCAGGTTGGACATCCAGGCCTGAGCCTTCCACCCTTGACTCCTGATTCTCTGTTGCACCTCTGTTGGTCGTGGGTATGAAGCTTATTCGATATTCGTTGGGATTTCGTGGGGGACCCTTAGAGGGCCTCTTGGATGTAGTTTTGATGCCCTTACGGGGCCTCTTGGAGGCAGTTTGGAGCCTCGGGTCGCTGTGGTGGAGTTTTGTTTCATCCGCTTCTGTTTCGTCCGCTTCTGTTTCGTCCGCTTTTGTTTCGTCCGCTTTTATGCCATCCGCTGTGGTTTCGTCCGTATTTTGTTTCGTCCGCTTTTGTTTCATCCGTTTTTTTTTCGTCCGCTTTTGTTTCGTCCGCTTTTGTTTCGTCCGCTTCGTTTTCGTCCGCTTTGTTTTGCGCGATTCGTGTGGAAGCTGGGGGAATGAAAACCGGATGAATCTGATCTGGACGTATTAAAACCGGATGAGTTCCAACCGGGAGAATTAAAACCGGATGAATTTAAACCGGACGATTAAAAACCGGATGATTTTAATCGGCGAATCAAAACCAGATGAGTTTAAACCGGACGAATTAACACCAGATGAATTTAAACGGACGAATTAAAACCGGATGGATTTAAACCGGGCGAATTATAACCGGTCGAATTTGAACCGGGCGAATTACAACCAGATGAATGTTAACCGGGCGATTTGAAAACGGATGAATTCAAACCAGATGAATGCAATGAGCCCCCAGACTGCGCCAGAGAGCTCCTAGAAGCCCTCGGGGACTTCATCAAGCCCCTCCAAGACAGCCCAGATAGCCCCAACGTGGCCTAGGATGGGTTCTAGACCGCAGATGCACAGCCCAAAAGGCCTCCAAGGGGCCTCAAGAGAGCTCCGAGAAGCATCCCGGGAGAGCCCGAAGAGGCCCAAATCATTGATTTTCATTGGTTTGGTCAATGTTTTTCGGTTTCTCGCGCTTTCGACCTTCCGACGCTCCAAGACGGCCGACGACGCTCCCAAGACCACCCTAAGACCGCCGAAGAGGCCCCCAAAAAAGCCCCGACACGGCACCAGGGAATTTGGCGGGGGCGCGGCGGGGGGAGGCCCGGCGAGGTTTTTGCAGGGTGGGTGGCCCTTCAGAACCTAGGCCCAGGACCCCAGGAGGCTGGCGGTGTCAGGCGCGGCGGGGGCGTGGCGGGGGGTGCTGGCGAGGTTTTTTCAGGGTGGGTGGCCCCTACGAACCCAGGCCCAGGACGCCAGGGGGTTTGCGGTGTCATTCGCGGCGGGGGCGTGGCGGGGGGGCGCCGGCAAGGTTTTTGCAGGGCGGGTGGCCCCTCAGAACCTAGGCCAAGGACGCCAGGAAGCTGGCGGTGTCAGGCGAAGTGGAGGCGCGATGGGGAAGGTGCCGATGAGGTTTTTGCATGGTGGGTTGCCGCTAAGAACCTAGCCCCAGGACCCCGGGAGGCCGGCGGTGTCAGGCGCGGCGGGGCTGTGGCGGGGGTCGCCGGCGAGGTCGGTGCAGGGTGGGTGGCCCCAAAGAACCTAGGCCCAGGACGCCAGGAGTCTGGCGGTGTCAGGCGCGGTGGGGGCGTTGTGGGAGAGGTGCCGGCGACGTTTTTGCAGGTGGGTGGCCCCCAAGAACCGAGGCCCAGGACGCCGGGAGGCTGGCGGTGTCAGGCGCGGTGGGGGGGGGGCGCCGGCGAGGTTTTTGCATGGCGGGTGGCCGCTAAGAACCTAGGCCCAGGACGCCAGAAGGCTGGCGGTGGGGGCGCGGTGGCAGGGGTGCCGGCGAGGTTCTTGCAGGGTGGGTGCCCTCAGAACCTAGGCCCAGGACGCCAGGAGTCTGGCGGTGTCAGGCGCGATGGGGGGGGGCGCCAGGTTTTTGCAGGGCGGGTGGCCCCTGGGAACCTAATTAGAGCCAGGACGCCAGGAGGCCGGCGGTGTCAGGCGCGGTGGGGGCGCCAGGGGTTTGAGGCGCCGGCGAGGTTTTTGTAGGGTGGGTGGCCCCTCAGAACCTCGGCCCAGGACGCCGCTGTCGGTGTCAAGAGCGGCGGGGGCGTGGTGGTGAGGGAGCCGGCGAGGTTTTTGCAGGGCGGGTGGCCCCTGAGAACCTAGGGCGAGGACACCAGGACTGGGCGGTGTCAGGCGCGGTGGGGGTGTGGTGTGGGAGGGTGCCGGCGAGGTTTTTTCAGGGTGGGTGGCCCCAGGAGGCTGGCGGTGTCAGGCGCGGCGGGGGCGTGGTGAGGGGGTGCCGGCGAGGTTTCCGCAGGGTGGGTGGTCCTTGAGAACCCAGGCCCAGGACGCCAGAAGGTTGTCGGTTTTAACAGTGATTCTTAACCGTGAGAAAATAAACGTTAACCTTAGGGAGAAAAAAACAAACAACTGTTTACAAAAAGCAATACGCAAAAACAATGGCAAAATGTGGGATGGAACCGCATGCGGGCGCTGCCACTGGGGCCTCAGGTGGAGCACACCGAAATGGGTGGGGAACCGCATGCGAACGCAGCCACTGGGGCCTTCGGCGGAGCTCCCTATGGGGCCACGGAGCGTGAGAGGAGTGTGCCGACATTGCGAGGCGGCGGCATGCGGGCCTTGCCGCTGGGGCCTTCGGTGGAGCTCCCTATGGGGCCACGAGGCGTGTGAGGGGTGTGCCGAAATGGCGATTTGGCGGGCGATGGTTCTAGTATATATAACGTCGGAGTGATGGGGTCCCCCGGCCGCCCCCGGCACACAATGACAAATGGGGCCACCCCCCTCCGTGCATCGTTTTTGCCCCCCTGGGCCCCGGGCCTGATTTCAGCTTCAAGAACACCCACGAGGGCTTCCAGACAGCCCAAGAGGCTCCCGAGAGGCCTCCAAGACGAGCCAAGATGCCCCCGAGACGCCCAAACAACGCTCCAAGACGCCGAAGATGACTCCAAGGCGGCCCAAGAGGCCGCCAAGACGCCCCAAGAAGCCTCCAAGAGGCTTCAGAAGAGGGCCCCGAGACGCCAAAATCATTGATTTTCGATTGGAAAACGTACATTTTTAGCATATACGATTTTTCGACAATCACGGCGCTGAAGACGGTCCAAGAGGCCCCATAGACCAGCCCAAGACGGCCTAAGAGGCTCCCAAGAGGCGCCCAAGACGGCCCAAGAGTGCGCCGTAGCCATTTTGGCTCAAGGCCCAAGCAAGTCCTCGCCCCACAAGGCAAGTATCTTGGTCTTGCGAGTGGGATCTTTCACGATGTTCCAGTTCCTGTCGCAGGGACGGCGGCATGGCAGCGGCGGCGAGGCTGCAGCCTCTAGTGACGGCAGCCAGCAGCCTTTCCTGAATAATGCGGATTCTTCGGACGGCCACGCTGCGAGTCCGCAAGAGGAGTCCCCTTATGAGGACATTGGGAAGCTACGTCAGGCTTGCGAGAACTTTGAGTTCTCTACGTCGACACGTGCCAGCGTCTGGCACGGTTGGAGAAGGCGGTTCTTTCCGGAGCCATGGACGCGGCCCGCGAGTTATGTGATGCCCGCGTCAAGGGGCCTTCTATCGAGAATCCTGACTCTGTGGCGCCTACCGAGCCCGCCACTCTACTCAGCCCGACACTCCGGCACGCTTTGTACGAGATCGCTTCACGACCCGTCGCGCAGTCCCTGCCCATCACGCACACGCATGTTGCAAGCTCCGACAGCAGTGCTGAGGAGGTGCAGACCAGGAGCACTGTGCAGTTCGACAGTGCGGTGATGTACGCTGAGGAGGGCGAGTTACTCCTGGTACATATCATGCGCTTGGGCGGATGGCTTTCAGCCTGCTCTGTCGACTACGAGACCGAGGACTCAGAGAGGTCAGGTGGGGGCACAAATGCGAAGCCTTGAAAGGCACCGTGCACTTCAAGCCGGGAGAGAGGACGAAGACGATCAGTTTGCGATTCTTCGAGGATGATGTGTACCAGGGCTCGACAGTGGAGGTAAGCATTAGGCTTTCGAGCCCACAAGGGTGCGTTCTCGGGGCCTACCTGAAACGGGTCCGCGTTAAGCTGCTGGACAATGGTACCTTTCCCACAAACAAGTTCGCCAAGTACCTCAAGGAAGACTACAGTGCCGAGTCTTGGAAAGAGGGCCAAGATTTCAGTATGTTCGTGGAGTTTTGCAAGTTTGTCTTCAAGCAGACAACTTCTGGGTCTATCAAGATGGTCGTCGCAGGCCAGGTCAACAACCTGATATTCGTTTATGGACTCTGGATCATGAGGGTAATCGTGAACGCTCTGGACCATGATGATAGTGTCGGTGATCCTCCCAGTTTGGTGTACGTGACCGTGCTCGCGCTCTGTCTTGTGCTTCCCTTCGGGCTTACCCACCTAATCGCGTATCAGAGCTCAGGGTGGGGCGTTGGAGGCGGCGCTCGAAAGGTGTTGCTCGAGGGGTTGATGTCAAAGTTTTTGTACTTTGAGGAAAAAAGCCGTCACAAACTGAATCCTTACGAATGGATAGCTGTTTTCAATACTGAGGTCACGACGCTAGTGAATGACGGCTACATGCAAGTGTTCACACTAATAACTGCCATTGGCAAAGTCGTTCTCCTGGCATTATTTATAACTTCTACGGCTTTCACGGGCTATTTCAACACGAGGAGAAGGGAACTTTTCGTCAGTATCGTACCATTTTTCATCTTGCCGCCAGTCATCTGTTGTTATCTTGCATTGCGACTGCGTGATGCCAATGACATGCGCCACGACGTAGTCGTCGCCTCGGTTCGTTTGAGACAATTTTCGGGTGAGTGCGTGTTGCATTATCGCACGATTGCAGACTATTGGAGCCGGCCGGTAGTGTTAGGACAAATCATGAGATTGACGGGTGACTTTAACAAGAAGGTGGCAGACGAGAGCCGAAGGGAGGTGAACGACGGGGCCTTCTTTGGATGGTTGATGAAGTTGGTTGAGTTCTGCGCCATCTTTGGACTGAGTGCAGTAGTGATCAACGGTGGTATTAAAATTGGCACCTTCGCTGCCGTTTTGGCTGGCCTAAAAAGTGCAGCGCAGGAGTTCCAGGGCGCTTACCACACCATGGTTACAATGCAGGCTTGCTTTCCATACCTGTGGAGGTGCGTCAGGTACTTGAACTTGCCCAACGACTTATGGGAGCGCAGAGACAAGCTCTCAGAAGTGAGGCGTTGGTTTGATGAGCGCGTCGATCTGGAGCGGCTGCAAGCCCCAGGAGAGATACCCGAAGACAGGATTCCTCTCCGCGTGGAAAGCATCACATTCGCTTACCAAGGGGGGACCTCGCCCATCTTCCGCAACTTGACATTGGCAATCAATCAGGGAGAGTTCGTTGCTATCCTTGGGCCGCGCAGTTCAGGCAAGAACACCCTCCTCCAGATATTGGCTGGGTTGCTCCTTCCAACCGCAGGCAGCATCAACGTACCACCGCATCTGCGCGTGCTGCACCTGAGGTATGAGCAACATCTCTGGGACAGGCCTTTGTCCGACACCCTGTATTTTGGATGGATGGCCGCCCACGGTGTGACTCGGGTCGAAGATTTGGACGAGCACACGATCGCGAAAGGATTGGATATCTGCAAGGAGCTAGAGCTTCACAAGAACCTGGTCAACACAATCGAACGTGAGGTGAGATCGCGAACCAATCCGTCCATCAAGGGGATCGGAAAGCTTGCAGACAGAAGTGACATCTCCAAAGATTCCAGCTACAGGCTGCAGTTAGCCTGCGCTCTACTCGCACACCCAGAGGTCTTGGTAGTTCACACGCCTGTGGCCCATGCCGCCTGGAACGACGGGGGCCGCCTGATGGACGTGCTCCGACGCTACGTGGACGAGCGTGGCATGTGCTCTCCGCCTGGCCAGGTGCATATCCGACGGCCGCGCACGTGCGTAGTGTCTATGGAGAAGCCTGTCTACCTGGGGAAAGCCCACCGGGTTCTCGAGATCGAGGACGGGCAGGTCAGACAGAGGACAGCCCACAGCATCAGCTAGACGTCCAGTTCGCCCGTCACGCTTCAGTCCTGACGAGGCGGGGGCCCGGAGGTGTGCCTTCCCTCGTTCTCCTGTTCCCCCCCCCCCCACTGCATGCGGCCGCCCACTGTTGAAAAGCAGTCGTGCAAATCTACACGCCGGTCGTTGGAAGTAGGTATTTTTGGATCCCCAGATCCCAATCTACTTCAAGCGCCTTCCTACTTCAAGAATCGACATGCTTTTGCTGTGTTTTGTTATTCTCTGGGAGGACCTGGACCCAATCTACTGTATCCGCCTTCCTACTTCATGTTTCTACCTACTTCTTCCGACCGACGTGTAGTTGTCAATCGGATTTCTGCTTTCCTGCTCTGCTTCTTCTCCGGCGCGGGCGAGCGCCGCCGTGCCTGGATTCCGAGCCGGTCGTACATGGTTCTCGAGTAGGAACTGCCTGGCTTGATTTAGGGCGGATTTAGGTTGAGTCGGTTGAGTGTTTTTGTGTTTTGATGCCGACGACGATTGTAATGATGGTGGTTATCAAATCGTAGTGCTGATGGTGGTGGCGATGGTGATGGTGATGATGGTGGTGCTCATCACATCCAGAATCACCATCATCACCATCATCACCATCACCATCACAACCGCCCTCACCATACCATCACGATGGAGATTGGACAGACTTGGATCAAAGAAGCGACGGCGGCAGTCTTAGATTTTCCCCATATCCAAAGGATGGGGTTCTTGTTCCCAACCATCCTGTGGTCTTGGGTTTTCGTTTTGAAGAGACAGCGCCCCGCGTTCCTCCTCCTCGCGCTGCTCCCTTCCCGTTTGTCTCAACTTACTACCGATTATCCGGCATTCGACCAGTCAGCGTTTTGCATTCTCCACCTGTCTCGGTGGCAAAGGTCTAATTTTTCTTCGACGCATTCAGCAGGCCTTCATTGCCAAAGCAATACGGGCCTCTGTGCTTGTCTGCCTCCTCGTTAACATTTCTTTGCCGACCCATCTTCCAGATTGCTGGCGGCACTTCACCATCTGAGGCACGAGTGATACCTTGCATGGTAACCAAAGTTGAACCCCCCCCCAAAAAAAAAAGACGGCCCAAGAGTGCGCCAAGACGGCCCAAGAGCCTCCCAAGAAAGCCCAAGAGGGCCCCAAGACGGCCCCAAGAGGGGGAGCCCAAACCGAAAGTCCGGGCCTTCAGCCCCAAGAAGCTCCCAGGAGGCCCCAAGAGGCCCCCAAGAGGCCCCAGGAGGCCCCCAAGAGGCCCCCAAGAGGCCCCCAAGAGGCCCCCAAAAGGCCCCCGGAGGTCCCTGAGAGACCCAAAAGAGGCCCCAACAGGACCCAAAAGGCCCCCAAAACTTCGAAATTGCCCCCAAGAGGCCCGCGAGAAGCCTCCCAAGAGATCCCAGCGAACACCGCACAAGCCTCATACTCACAGCCCCGTCGCCGTGGGGCCCACTGTTGGCCCCCAAACGGCCCCTCAGAGGCCCAAGAGGCTTCAAATTTGTTTCTATGGCGGTTAACGGGAGGAGGAAGGAGGGAGGGAAAGGGGGGAAGAGGAAGGAGGAGACACCCCCCTTGAGAGGGGTGCGGTGGGTCAAACGCGCACCTGACGACGCGAAGACCCCGCGTGAGGATGCCAGGGCATCTCGGAGCCCCGAGACGGCCCCGGCCTCCCAAGACTGCCCGAGAGCTCACCGGGACGGCCGTCGAGGGCCCCAAACGAGCTTCAAGAGGCCCCAAGACGAAGTGCTTTTACAGGTCCTGCTCTCTTTGTCGGCTGGAGAACCCGAGGATCATCCGTAGAAGGGAGACGGATTAGAAACATCAGAAGGATGGGGGACGTAGGAGAGCGAGGAGGGGCCTTATGGAAAGGGAGGAGGGAGGACGCAGTGGGCGGGAGGAGTGGGAATGATGGGGGAGGCCCAGGACTACGTCGCCTCCTGCCTTTGGTCTTGCGTGGTGTGTGGGGCATCGGGTTTCTTGCCTGCTGGATCATTCGTTGTTCCCGTTGCCGCATGATTTCAATTTCTTCTGTCGGTGCCGTCCAGAGCGCCGCGTTGAATCCATTGCATCGCTTTAACAGAGCAACTCTCCCTGCCCTTCCATTGACGCGATCAAGGGTGGGGGGGTCCTGGAGGGCGTTCAAGGTTGAAGCCGTGATGTCCCGAGGCGCCCCCCTGGCCGCATGAGGTGGTCAAGGGGGGGCCCTGGAGGTGTTCAAGAGGAAGCGAGGAATGAGGAGGTTGGTTGGTTCTCCTGGTTTCCGCTCGAGTCTCCACTCTCTGTCTCTCTCTTCTTTCTCCTCGGGTATCCCCCCGTTGTGTCCTGAGGCGCCCCCCCGGCCGCGAGAAGCGGTCAAGGGGGGGAGCCCGGGGGGCGTTCGAGGTTGAAGCCGCGATGTCCCGAGGCGCCCCCGCGGCCGCGAGAAGCGGTCAAGGGGGGGTGCCCGGGAGGCGTTCAAGAGGAGCGCAGAGCGAGGAGCGAGGAGGTTGGTTGGTTCTCCTGGTTTCCACTCGAGTCTCCACTCTCTGTCTCTCTCTTCTTTCTCCTCGGGTATCCCCCCGTTGTGTCCTGAGGCGCCCCCCCGGCCGCGAGAAGCTGCGGTCAAGGGGGGGGGGCCCGGGGGGGCGTTCGAGGTTGAAGCCGCGATGTCCCGAGGCCCCCCCCCCGGCCGCGAGAAGCGGTCAAGGGGGGGGGCCAGGTGTGCGCTCAAGGTTGAAGCCGTAATGTCCCGAGGCGCCCCCCCCGGCCGCGAGACGCGGTCAAGGGGGGGTGCCCGGGGGGCGCACAAGGTTGAAGTCGAGCTGACCCGAGGCGGCCCCGCGGCCGCGAGACACGGTCCAGGGAGGTGCCCGAGAGCCGGTCAAGGTTGAAGCCGAGGTGTCCCGAGGCCACCCCCAGACGCGGGAGGCGGTCAAGAGCAGGGCTTCAGGGGAGTTGTGTCTTGAGGGGCCTTCTCAACATTTGTATCATATCGATTGCAACAATGCATCCAAATGCGTGACCTGCTCAATCCAGATACGCTTGCGTCGTCTTGTTCGCCAAGGCACATTTGGGCTTCGAAAATAGTCCCAAGAGACCCCCTAGGTGTCGATTGGCCCCCATCCACAACCTGAAGGTTTAATGAACGCAATGACCAACAACCTACAGCCTTGAGTCATGCGCTGCGTGAGGCATCCCATTGGCAACCGCCGAAGCCATTGTAGTAACGCGTTTCCTTCTTCATCCCAATTCATGTCCGCCGCCCAGCGCAATCCATGCACCATGACACCTTGTTCGATCGTCGATACGCCTGCATCCCTGCAACAAATCCACGGCACAATACAACATCACGCCTGCATCCTTGCCTCGCCACGGTTGCGCAGCTGAACCATTCCAGCCAACCGTAGTCCTCGGCAACGCCTGCGCCAATACATCTGAATGCCTGGCCGCATCATTGCACGTTCACCGGTTGTTGAATGCTGGGCCTGTGTACATTCATGTCTGTGCCGTTGCATCCAAGCGCGCCAGAATCATGGTTGTCATCGTGCGTGGGCACCGTGGGCGCTCATCTAACCCCAGGAAGCATTTAAGACCCCCCCCCCTTCCGGCAAATCGATAACCCTTCCGCACCCTGGAAGCGTTACCTGGCACCAGGAGCCCTCCTCCTCCTCCTCCTCCTCATCCTCCTCCTCCTCCTCCTCCTCTCCTCCACCCACGAACTTCCTCCTGCTCCTCCTCCTCCTCCTCCTCCTCCTCCTCCTCCTCCTCCTCCTCCTCCTCCTCCTCCTCCTCCTCCCGCGCCCCCCTCCTTCCCTCAAGGCCTGTCACATGAATTTTCCAAGCAGCAAGCGACATCCTGAGTCTTTCATGAGAGCCACGCAGATTTGAATTTCGAATTTCGATTGTAGCCCAGGGGCCAGGCCTCCGCGAATTTGTTGTGTGTCCGGGTGCTAAACCTATCGTGCGGTTATTTCGGCCCCTCGGAATATCGAATAAAAATGCGGTGCTAAGATATCGCCGGGGGGGTTCTTAAATGCTTCCTGGGTTTATGTCACCACCATGTCACATGCCTACAGCACAAGCACATTAACTATGCGCGTGCTTCGCCGCGCCCGCAACATTTGTGCCGCTGCGCTGACAACCGCACGGCTGAACCACTGCAACCAGCAACGTTCCTCGAAAACGCCTGCGCCAGCGCATCCGAACGCCCGCGCATCATTCCACATTGAACTGCTACGCCTGGTCTTGTGCCCCTTCATGCCCGTGCCATTGTATCCGCGGTCGCCGGAACCATCGTATCTTAATTCCAGGAATTCGCGTGTGTTTCTATGCCATTCCATCAATGCATGGAAAACTGTTGTGTCGCAGAATTCCGCCCAATGCCCCACAATTCCCAATGTACCAAACCCGCACGCCTGCGCGCCTGCATTGCCACGCGTGAACCCATGCACTCCATCATCACGCGTGTGTTTCCGGCGCTTGTGCGAATTGTTGTTTTTTTCACCGCACCGTGGCACCTGACCTCAGCCGTCTTCTCGCCTGCGCGCCACCATCGTCGCACGCCCATACTTACATCCACACGCATGACCCATAACATCGCCCTACTTGTGTTTCCATACCATTGCTTCAGTGCATGGGCGAGCTACTGTGTTGGATCCAACCATCCACTGTGCCATGACACATGACTTGCCCGTATTCCTTAACCACGTTATCCATCGCTTCCAACACGCCTGAGCCCTCGCTTCGGTGAGTGCACGATCAACTGTATTGCGCCAGTCCGTCCTATGCAGCGTGGTGGGTGATTTCACTGCTTTGCACGCCTGCGTGCCGCCATCTTTTCGCTTCCCTTCCTGCTGTGAAGAGTGCATTCCCCTGCCCCTCTGCCGCCCGTGCCACCGTGTGTGTATGATGTACACGCTTGTCTTGTTTTGTGGCATGCACGCTGCCCGCCGCTGTTTTGGCCCTGGTCCTAGGGCCCTGGGACGCACCCGCAGTTTTGACTGCCGCGCAGTCCGAGCTAAAAGAACTGCACTGAC